ATGCGAAAGCCGACCCCACGGCTTATGTCATGATGATTATGCAGTTTGATGTTCCCTTTCAGCGCGATGGATAGAGGCGCCGGTGTTTTGGTAGTTTTAGATGGATGCATAATGATATCCTTTTCAATCCATAATCCATAAATCAAGTAGTTGCATATACCATTCTAATCGTAGACAAACCTTCTCAAACTCACAATCATCACTAATGCTTGACGCGTACATTATAGTCTAGTACTTAGTTTATCCTTCGTCCTATCACATCTTGACCGAAAGTCTAGCATAGACTACTTGACCATATACACATTGCTCTGCATGATTGAAGTAAATTTCATGAGTCATGTTAATTACCTTAATCCATATACACAGGGTAACCATGAATCAGCCAACTGCCGAGTCCTCATTCTAATGAATTCCTGATCGACTAGTGATTAGCTGAGATGACAATATTGAAAAGCAATGCACTTAACGAACTCTTTCACATGACGGCAAAGTCTGCTGTGATCCCCTCACGAGATATGCCTCCTAAGACCGTTTGTTACTCTCCCCAAGACTGCTTATGATTAATTGGGTTATGGAAGAGTTGGGGGTATCGGAGGTAGGCATCAAAACCACGTGCATGCATGCATCTACCTATCAAGCAGGAAAAAAGTACTTACCTCACTGTCAAAGTCAAGTCTGTGTCGGAATATTCCTACTGCGACTTATGATGAGCGTTACCTTTTCTTCCCTTTCCTTCCTATCCGTCCTATCTTATTCCTGTAGCCTCCCAAATCTGGTTGGTCAATGCAGTCTTTGTTCGGTCATGAGGTATACATACTACTTACTTAGTAGGCACAGCTTCACTCCTGTGGACATACAAGGGTCTCTCTCTATCCCTCCCCAACTGACCCTAATTGAGTAGATTGTATCTCGGGCGTATTTACTATGTTGTACTTTGAGGTAATCGTAGGTAGTAGCGTTGTTACTACTTCTCTCAGGCCTACATTATCTCTCTGATTACCCTTCATCAGCAATAGTATAATGTCAGTATTAATAAATGCACTAACTACTTCATCAGAGCTAGTTCGCATATATGCAAGTATATATGTACAAGACTCCAGCAATGCAACAGCCAACTCCACGCTAAAACACAATCCAAAAGTATAGGGTATCATGGCAAATCTCCTCCCGTAGAGATAGTCAAAACAACAATGGTATAGTAGAACGAAAGAAGAGAAAGGGAAAAAAAAAAGGCTAATCTGCCCGCTCTGCACGCTCTCCCCCCTGCTCTGGCCATGGCGCCAATTCATGCATCAATCCTCCTGACGTCTGCTTCGTGTGGTCGGCTAGCTGCACCGTCGGCAACGGCTCCGACACTACGCTGCGCCGGCGCGAGAGGACCCCACCCACCGATGGGTTCTCCTTTTCGCGCGCCATCACGTTGGCTTTGATGCGACTGCGCCGGCGGGGGTGCCGCAGGTGCTCGTTTGGTACCGGGTCCACTTGTTTCTTGGCTGCCGGTACTATGTTGAGGTAGATGGGGAAGATGGCGCCCGCGCTGAATAGCGCCACCAGCACGCAGTAGGAATAGCGGATCCCGCCTGCCAGCTCAGCAGCGTACTGCGCGAACGGGAAGAAGGCACCGCCGCTGATGGCCACTGTGAGCAGTACGGTAGCAGTCTTGGTGTGTCGACCGGTACCGCGGAGCGAGATAGCGAAGATGATGCTGAATGCGCCGCTCTCGAACAGATACACCATCATAGCCATGGCCTCGGCGGCCCGCCCGGTCATTTTCATGCACAAGATGGAGAAGAGAATCATGCCGATGTAAGAGAGCATGAGTATCCAGCGGGGTTTGAGGAACCATTGCAGAAAGGCGGCGAGAAAGCGGCCGATCGCGAACACCGTGTGCGCGACCGTGAGCTGTTCAAAGGGACTGAGGTAGGACAGCGGGTGCACGGCGCGGACGTAGCTGTCGAAGCTCATCGAAATCACTTCTTGGCCGGCACAATAGAAAAACTGAGACCACACGCCGAGCCCCAGTGTCAGCCAGACCACGGGGACACCGGCGACAGTGGCCCGGTTGTCGGCGCGGCGGCGGTTGGCCAATTCCTCGAGATCCTCGTCTGATGCCTCTGGAATAGGCAGGTAATAGAACGCGAGAGCGAGGAGCACATCGAACAGTGCGATGCCCAAGTACGTCCACTGCACGTCAACTAGAGTGCTCACGTCGGTTACAGCTTTGAAGAGAACCTTCTTGGCCAGCAGCTGCGACACGACGCTGCCGATAGCCTGCACACCCTGCGAGATGTTCAGCCGAATCTCCGAGTTCTCGAGCGGTCCGCATAGTGCAATGAACGGATTGGCGGCCGTCTCGAGCACCGCCAGTCCACTGCCCACAATGAAATTGGACACAATGAAACCAGGGTACGATGTTAGCACGGCTGACGGCCAGAAGACCAGAGTGCCGCAGGCGTAGATGCACAGCCCGGTGATGAAGGTGCACTTGAACCCCCAGCGCTTCAGCACGACGCCCCCCACAAACGTCGGCGCCACCAGATACCCCCCAAAGTAGACCGCATGAAGACCAAACGACTGCCAGATGTCTAGACGCAGGATATCCTGGATCTGCTCATTCAGAATAGCCAGCAAGCCGTAGGCAAATCCCCAGAGGAAGAATAATATGGTCGTCAGCGCGATCGGCGCGATGGACTCCTTGTTGCTCAGCTTCAACATGTTGGCCGGCTTCTTCATATTGACAAAATCGAAAAAGGTGATGCTGGGGGGATACGACGTGGTGGTGGTGACGGTGTTCGTTCGGTTCTCGACATCCGGAGGCGCCTCGGGCGCGGTGGTCAACATGTCAGCCAGATCCACCCGGGCCGAAGCGGCCTGACTGCTGCGGCTCTCCGAATGCGACGGCTTATTGTCCTGGATGGCGGACTGCTGTGAGCGCGACGCGCGCCGGGCGGTAGGAGGCCCGGTGATGGTCGGGAGCTCGGGCGGAGGATCAGGGGCGGGCAGGGGAAGGTCTGTGGCCTGGGAGCTCCCGTCAGTGTCACGGATCAGCTTCGGGATGAGTCGCGCGACGAGCGGCTTGAGACTGGGCACACAGGCACAGATGACGGAAACGTTGACTTCGATGACGGACCACATGAATGAAAACGCCCCGTACCCTGGGGCGATCAGCAGGAAATAGGGAGAAAGAAAGGACAGGGGACGTACAGCTGAGGTCATCACCCGGGGTATCCTGCAGATGGACTTGTTTCAACGCGATCTGACGTGAGGTGGCCGCATCTTGAATGTAGGCAATGCGAATGACGTCGACGACGGCGACAAAGAATCCAAAACTGAAGGTGATGACGAGGATGATCTTTTGTTTGCGCGGCAGTCGCATTTGCGTAAGAATGGGATTGGGCAGGAAGAGAATGGCCAGATCGGTAACAATGTTGACCGGGGACGAGGACAAGTATAGAGTCAGGATATCGATGCACTTGGCACCCTCGGGCAAGGGATAGGAAACGGCGGCGCTGACGGGACGGCATTGGAAGACATTGACGAGGGTCAGGGCGAGTCCAGCGGCATTGACGACGAAAAGGGTGACGTAGTTGGCTAAGCGAAAGACCTTCTCGCCTTGGGTGAGGGTTAGGTAGAAGACCAGAATGGAAGTTTTGACGGCCATGAGGGCCGGGTTCTGGGGCAGTCAGAGGGGAGCGATGGCGGAGGAAGGAGTCCCGGGCGACTCACGTAGAGGACGGTGAAGGCATAGTCGGCGCGATTGAGGCCAGCGCGCTGGTCCTCGCGTATATCGGAATCGTGCAGACCCAGACCTTTGTGGGTGGCATAGAAGAGGGAGAAGGAGAAGCCGAAGTCGAGGACCTGCGGGAAGATCGGAGATGAGGAGCTGACTCAAGACGAGAGGAAGGACGGGGAAAAGTAAAAAAAAAACGTACCCAGGCCAGGAGCATCAAATAGTCATGGAGGGCGACCTTCTGGACAATAAAAATACGGGAGATAAAGCGCAGGGCCACGAAGACAGTTGCGATGACGAAGAAGACGATGGAGACGGTGAGAACCTCGGGCCGTTGGTCTTGCATGACGAAGTTGGGGCGACAAGGGCGAAGAGGGAAGACGAGGGGGGACAGGGAGGTCGGGCCATGATCGGATCAAAGCATGATCTTGAAGATGATATATAGGAAGATAAAAGAGGGAGAGATTGTGTGAGTAAAATGGTGGAAAAGAGATGAGGTGAAGAAAGGGAAAAGTGGATGCAGAAATTGAGGGGAAGCGGAGACAAGAAGAAAGAAGAGAGTCAAGTCAAGCCTAAGCCTGGAAGGTTAAAACTAAAAAATACTAATACTAATACTAATACTAACAAAGTCCCAGTGGGTTTTTTTCCTTTGTGTGCGTGGGTCCCCCGGATTAGATAATAGCATTATATTAATTAGTTGGTGATGATATTATGGTTTGATGTTGTTCAAAGGATCCAGGAATACGGTTTATTGGGACGATCCAAATAGCAAAGCCGACGATCGGCGGCTCCTCGCGTGTTGCGCCAGGATTGAAGCTGTTCGCAGCCATTCTTGGATGGTCTTGGAGATGTGCTGGACATTCCAGTTCCTTCAGCCAGCCGGCTTGAATGCAGGCTAAATTGCATAGTGGTCGTCTATCTTGCATGGAGTATGCAGAAATGCCCGTAAATAATTAGATAGTGAGCAAAAGAATATGAAAGGGGTATCAACAGTAGACCACCAATTGATTGGGTATACTGCAGGGGACGGGAGATGCATGGGATAATAACTATCCGTTTAACTTACTTCTTCTCTCCCACTATTTCTTCAACTATTCATTATCCCCGACCTTTCCCAAACCCTAACTGCCCAATATTGCTACTGATATGGCTGCATCTGCATCTGCATCTGCCAAGTACCTTAAATAACTTTGAGTATCATCCACTAACTCAATTCTTCGTACTTTCTGCTCTGCTGACTCCCGCCCAGCATCACATGGAGCCCTTCAAAATGTCCCAATTCGACGCCCGGCCATCGCCAGGCCATAAAACCCCGACCAGCAGCAACAGCAGCAGTCAGTCAGTCCCTCAATGCAGTATCTTCTCATGAAACCCGCCTTTCTGTTGGCCGTCCTAGCGACAGCCACCACAGCGCCAACCTGGACCCAGACCATCTGGCACGATATTCAAGCTGCGACCAGCTGCACTGCCTGCGAGGTGACTGACTGACTGTTCATCCAGATTGTCATGGACCACGCTGATCTACGCCCATAGACGCTGCTCAAATCACTTCAACAAGCATCTCAACTCGGTCCATCGACCCTCCAGACCATCCTCACCGAGGTATGCATTTTAAGCAAGGTAAATAATAAATACTATACTACCGTCTCCACCTCGGACATTTCACTAATCTTATCCTCCCAGATCCTCGACGCCGACTTCTGCACCGGACTCATAGCCTCCCAAGTCCCCAGTGCATACTATGTGCTTCGTCAACTGTCCATTCCATCAGACACCGCGCAAACCTTTTGTGCCAGCGTGTTGGATTTGTGTCCGTATCCGCCGATTCCTCCTATCAACCTGACCTTCCCTCCCCCATATTCCCCTATCACCACTACCACCAAGAAAAATAACAAAGATAACAATATAACCCTCCGAATCGCCCACATCACCGACACCCACGTCGACCTCCAATACACCCCGGGCACGAGCACCCACTGCCGCAAGCCCATCTGCTGCCGCCAATACCACGCCTACGATGCCCCAGGCCGGTCCAAAACCCCATGCTCAAGCTGGGGAAGCCCACACTGCGATCCCCCATTAAAACTACTACACAACATGCTCTCCACACTACAATCACAACAACCACACCTAACCCTCTTCACCGGCGACATCGTCGCCCACGACATCTGGAACACAAGCCAGACATCAGTGCTAGCAAGCTTCAACGCGACCAACTCCGCCCTCCACACCCTACTAAACAACAACAACAACCACCACCCAATCTACTCCGCCATCGGAAATCACGACACCCACCCCGTAAACATCTTCCCAGGGAGTCTCAACATCCCAAAAGAACTAAACGTAGAATGGACCTACACCGCACTAACCACCCACTGGAGAACACTCCAAATTAACCCTACATTAAGAACTACTAGATATGGCGCATACGCAACAACACATACCCTCCCTCCCACATCACCCACACAAGAACAAACCCAGCCCCCAACCCCGAAAATGAAAATAAAAATAATCTCCTACAACAGCAACCTCTACTACCGACTCAACCTCCTCCTCTACACGACCCCTATGCCAGTTGACCCCATGGCCCAGTTCACGTGGCTGATCAGCGAGCTCCACACCGCGGAACAAGAGGGGGTTAATGTCCTTCTGATAACGCATATCCCTATCTCGAGTAAAGATACTTTACCTGCGTATGCTGATTCCTTACGGAGGATACTCTATAGGTACAAGGATACGGTCGTGGGTGTGTTCTGTGGTCATGGACATGTTGATACGTTTGGGGTGTTTTATCGTTCTCATTCTTCTGGTGGTAGTAGTAATAGGAGTGCTGGTAGTCGTGATAGTGATAGTGATAGTCATGAGAATCAGGGGCACCGGCAAGGGAAGATCACTGTGGAGAACAACAACAACAACAACAACGAGGTGACAGTGGAGAAAGGAGAAGTGATAGGCGTGGAGATGATGGCGCCGGCGATGACGCCTACGTCGGGGTATTCTGCTTTTAGGGTGTATGATGTGCAGTTTAATAGTGTTGGTGGTGGTGGTGGGTGGAAGGTATTGGATTTCGAGGAGTATATTGCGAGATTCCCTCAACATAGTCTTCAAGGGGATAGTGGTGAGGTAGAACCGCAATGGGTTAGGTATTACTCTGCTATGGAAGCTTACGGGAAGTATGTCTATCCTAATGGGGCTGGTACCGGTACTAATGGCATTGGTGCTGGGGCGGAGGCTGGGGGCGGTGCTGCTGCTGCTGGCATTGGACCGCACTTCTGGGCGAAGCTGACGGATGTTATGGAGACGGATTGGAATGTGTTTAATCAGTATTGGGCGAGACGGACTAGGGGGTACAATGTCTTAAGTTGTGGGAGGGGTTGTCGGGAGAAGGAGATTTGTCGGTTGAGAGGACAAGATTGTCAGTCTAAAAGGGGGGATGACCATGAGGCTATTCCTACGGATATGGGAGTGGAAGGAAGCGCTCTGGCAAGTTGGCTAAGACAGGTTCAACAGTCTTATTCTTCTTCTTTCTCTTAATCATTCTAATCGTGATACATACACGTCAGTCATACTGCAGATAGATTCGTCCCCAGGACAATCTAAAGAATGTGTGTGTGTGTGTGTGTGTGCTAAGGTATGAACAAGAAATCAAAATCATCATATCTAAATCAGTCAATCAACGAGTGACAAGAAGGGTAAAATATTTCCGTTCCATCCCGGCCATCTACTGAATGTACCACTCCGCGCCCGTCAGGCGTCCCTCGGACTCGGTACCGAACTTCTTGAACAGCTTCTCCGACAGGTCGATCGACACATCGTCACAGCCCATGCACTTGTCCCAGACGGTACCGTAGTCGGTCACACCGTTGTAGGTGATCTTCACGGTCTTGCCGCAGTCGCTGTCTTGCATGATGCCATGGGGAAGCGCAACCACCATGTCGGTGTTGCCGTTGCTGGTGATGCCGCAAGATCCCAGTCCAGCGACGTAGTAGGTCAGATCACCCGTGCAAGGAGACCCGGAGGAGCAGCTACCGGAGTATCCACTGCTGCTGCCGCTGCTACCACTGCTGCCGCTGGAGCTGGAGCTGGAGGCCGAGGTGGTGGCCGCAGCGGGAACGGTGGTAGTGGAGGGGGTCCAGGCGGGCTCTTGGCTGGTAGTGGAAGGAGTCCAGGCAGGCTCCCATTCACTGGTGGAGCTGGAGCTGGTGGGGGCAGGAGTCCAGGCGGGTTCCCACTCACTGGTGGAAGTCGAAGTGGTGGAGGATGCGGGCTCGGGGGTCCAAGCAGCGCCCCAAGCGGTGGAGGTGGAGGTAGTGAAGGAAGAGGGCTGGTAGTTGACGGATTGCTCAGGCTGGCTGTTGCCGGGCACCTGGTATTGAGAGTCGGGGGTAGGGCTAGCGGCAGCGGATTCGGTAGGGGCAGCGCCGTAGATGGTGGTGGTCACGTCGACAGTGGTCCAGACGACGGAGGTGACGGTCTGGTAAACAATTTCGGTTGAGCGCTTCTCAACAGGAGCAGCAGAGCCAAAGGCGGCAAAGAGAGTGCCGGCCAGGGCGAGAGACTTGGAAAGAGGGGCCATTGTAATGGATGTGAGTTGTTTGATATAGGATTGTGGTGGTTGTTTGGTGGAGTGATTTGCTTTCGGTTGACAATGTAGGGTCACTGTTTTCTTTTGGAAGGATTGATGCTCTGGTCGACAGAGGAGTCTAAGGAATGCGTACTGCACAGCAGTATAGAGCAAAAAACCCAAGGAATGAGGGTGTAAAGAAGGAATGACCGAGCGTCGGCGTCAAAGAGAGGACGGACTGTAAGGTGGAAGAGGAGAGGGAAAGAAGCAGGTGAGAAACGAAGGAGGGAGAGGGAAAGTATTTGTATTAGAATTGGGGCCAATGGTATGTATGTATGGATGGATGGATGTATGGTGTGTATGGTACCAATTGGTATTGGGGGGGGTGAATCACCGTCGGGATCCACCGCACCAACAAGTAACAACACCAAAGAATCCATCTTCCTTACCCTCACTCTCTGTCTCTCAATCTCGCTCTCTCATGAATGAAGCCTAGACTCCACTTAGTCCAATTACTTTTTTGACCCCCCCAGACCCACACTCTTTCTTTTCCTCCCCCCACCGCCAACAGCTCGTGAACCCTCGATCTCCGCCAATGCCCGTTAAGCCCTTCACTGCCCGACCCTCACCGGTCTTCCCAGGGCAATCTCGTCCTCCATGGTTGGCAGTGGTCGGGCGCGGCCCGGAACCAGCGCAGCATCCTACTCGGTCTGATTGGGGAGCTCTCCCTCGTACCTGACGCAGCCATCTCATCTTACAGCTGTTACCATTGAAAGAAGCAAATAAAGAACACGCAAAAGAAAGTCAAAAAATACTCTACTCCGTACTTCCAGGCACACACCAATCTGGCAGGGTCTGATCGGAATCCTCGGGGTCAGGCCCAGTAGTTTGGCTGATTGGCGGTTCGCATTGACGCCAGTGTCTCACCAAGCCGTGCCTGGATGGCACAGACACCTCTCACTGGCTGAACTGGGGCCAGAGTGGGCAGTTGTTCTTCGGATTGACTTTTGAGTAGTCTGCTGGTGCGTTAGTTCAGCCACGCTCTACCGTTCCTTGCCTGCACTGACTTTTTGGTTGGGGAAATTGGGAGAAACCGCCTTTCAGCTGGAAGCGTGCGGTCATGTTGCCTGCAGGGCTCTCTTTTCCGCTTCCTTCAGGGGGATCAGCGTGGCAATCCTTGGGTCGTTCCGCCCAAAAGGAGGGAAATTGGCGGTGCCTGACCACTAAGCCACTCGACACGAGAAAACTAAATGGTGTTTTCCGAATACACAAAAAAAGTCGAACTAGACTAGGCTGGACGGGACTGAAACTACAACAATCAGGTGCCGTCATCTGTTCAGGTCCAGGTTCAGGTTTCACCGGGCCGAATGTTGATGTGGCGAACTCGGCGGGTCTTGGAGCCCATCAAAGGGAACACGGCCTATTGAAGACCAAGTTGACGTGTCGCACATCCAGGCACCGACCAGTCACATCTCGTCAGCAGCATCTCCCCTTCGCTTTGTACACAGTCCATATTTCGTGTGGTGGGAGGAAAAGAGGGGAACCATCCTTAGTGGCAGGGATGTTGCCCTGATCTGACTTTTTTGCCCTACCGGTGGGCTACTGCAGGACAGTCCAGCCGCGTCCATTCGCAAAACGACTGTCTTATTCGGTTGTTTTGGTCTTTCTTTTCGCGCCGCTAATCTAATAGTGTGGTCTAGGCAGTCCAATCCTCGGGACGAACGCCACTGGTAGATGTGAAACACACTCAATGGTGCTTTCGCACAATAAACAGTCAGATCCATCTGATGGATCTGAAATCTGAATATCAGGCGAGACGCCAAGCCAGCCAACCGGACTCTATCGCAGGGCTCCATCGTCCGTTTCATCCGTCACTCGCGTGGCTTGATCATCCACCGAGTACTACGGTGTATCTACTATCTAGACTGACTTCTGATGTGTAGTGCTGATACTTTAGATTCTACCCCTCTATCCAGTCGCATACTGAATATATTCACTGTACATTACATCATTAACAAAGATCAACATTGATTGAATGCAGCATTGATAAAAATGAAGCGGAGGATATTTCCGCATTCCACCGATCATTTTTATCAAATTCTCCATTCCAATCACCATTCCGATCGTCCTACCCGAAGTATTTCACAGAGTATCTTACTCAGAAGTATGTCCGACCTCCCATACGGTGTAAGTAAACATGCACATCCATACCACCACCACCACCAACAACAACAATCACATTGCAACAAAACAACCCCCAAATTAATTAATAAACACAACATACAACACAATGCTTACCATAGCCATCTAGACTAGATAACATATAGAAATCTACTACGGAGTTCACGGAATGACAAACACCCCCAACCCACCTGAAACCAACACAACCTAGACACTACTACCACATATAGCAAAACCACCACCGAATACTACCTACTACTAATATTTCAGTCCCATTCAATACACGGTCCAACCTGTCATCGTTAGAGTTCCAACATCTACTAAGTAGGAAAGGAGCTCAGCTCAGCTCGGCTCAACTTGCAGCCCCCAGATCCACCGCGATGGTCAAACACACTAGCCCCCAATGTTACTCAACTCAGCCTTGTTCGGCCTCGGTTAGGTGCAGATACTCGTGGGGATAAATATGCTGCGAGTAAGCTAAACTAATATCATGCTAGCTATGAAGGATGATGGAAAGGATGAGGATGAGAATAGTGTTGTTGGTAGGCGCAGGTACCCGTTCGTCAACTAAGTTGTTGGAGTTCGGAGTTGGGTGGATAGTATAACCCATTTCTTGTAGCAGCCAGCTACTATTGAGATAGGTGAAGTAGTAATTAGGACATATTTCTACTTACTTCAGGTATACACGGTATACTCAGTACGTAGTCGTGAATACTAACCAACCAAACCATCTATACACATACACCCACTACATAGGATAGTAAGTAGTCAGTCAGTCAGTCAAGATAAGAATTCGCCAAGCTCTCACTTATTGTTTTACGTACATTCACAAGCATCAGGGGTTAGGGGAAATAACCCCCATAAATAAATTAATCAATCACCTGATTTCCGAGAGTGTTGGATTGGCGCTTGCAGGGGTATGCTATACTTGAGGAATAGAACATCACTACGTTAACTGGTTGGTTACAAAGTAGCTAACTTCGTACTGAAACGGCCCGATATGACTAAGATCTGACTGGGGAACAAAACTGTCACAGATTCATCGTTAATGAAGTAGATCGTTAACTACCTTGTTACATAACTATAGTAATGAATTAATAGCTGAGCGACCTCACTAAGTAGCCAACTAGTAACTCACCATTAGACCATTAACCAACACAATGGACTCCCTAATTATCTGAGTAACTAACTACCCATCTAACGTTATGAATTCATTAACTACGTAGCTAACAATATAGCTGGAAGAGTACTAGGCGACGGAATAGAAGAAGTCGAAGATGTCACCCACAGCCTTACCCTTCCCATCTCCACCCATGGAACCGACAACTTCCGATTCAACCAGCAAATAAACTCAACATCTGACATCCACCACATACTATTCTACCTCTAGATAGTCCAGATAGCCTTTCCCACCATTAACCTTCTAGACTCTACTCAACGTCATAGCAGAAAAGTCTATGATTCATCTCTACCTGTCAGGGTGAAATATAAGATAATACCTACATACCTGCACTAACTATTCCATTAACTGTTCTACTACTACCGCAAGGAAAAATAATTTTTTTCTGGACTGAAGTGATATTCACGAGTTAACTCGTATGCATATCCCATCATTTTTCAAATGAAGAAATGGATTAAAGATAACTGACCAATGAAATAGGAAGTTGGACAAAATGGACTCCATCAAGAAGAACCTTGAAACCGCCAAGAACAAGGGCCAGGATTACTATAACCAGATGATGGGGCAGCAGCAGAGTATGTCAATCTCTTTCCTTTGTTATTGACTAGGGGAAATCGGAGTAATGCTAACGGAGATACTCTGCTCTTATAGACACCGATGCCTCCCAGTACGCCCAAGACGCCAAGAACAAGGCCAACGAGGGCATGGATAAGACCAAGCAGACGGCCAAGGATTATATGCCGGATCAGGCGGGGGATCATTAAATCATCCGTACAGTTGGTATAGGCTGATATGCTAGCTACTAAGGAATGAATATAATATAATATAGTCAGATAAATCCTATACCGAAGAAAACCATAACAGTAAATACAGTCATTTCCCATAAACCATGCGCAAGAAGCAAAAAGTATCCATCAATCTCGTGATATAATTACAACCCTGACGCCAAGACAATCAATCAAACCAGACCAGATCAGACAAGGAAAGAACACGAGGTATGTGCCTAACCCTGGCACATAATGCACGCCTCCTTGTTCTCAATGCTGCACTGGAGCACCTGCTGCGAGTAGATGTCGTTCTCGCGCTCTTCGCTCTCCTGCTGGCTGTCCTCCTCCTGGGGCCCGTTCTCCTGAGCGGAGGCATCAGCAGCAAGAGCCCGAGGGCTGCCGTTGGTGGAGCCGTTGACACCATTGACACCGTTCTCGCTGTGTCCGTTGACCGGGGCCTGGCCACGGGGAACAGCAGAGTACGTGCTGGAGGCAGCGCCGACAGCCCGCTTCTTGTACGCGGCATTGGTGCGGGCCACGTTGGTGTCCTCGACCTTGAGCTGCTCCTGGTCGACGGTGAACTGAATGGGCGCAGAGGCGGCCATTGTGCGCAGGTAGTACATGCCCGTCTTCAGACCCATCTTCCAGCCGGCAAAGTGCATGCTGGTGATCTTGCCCATGGTGGGCTCCTTCAGGTGGATGTTGAGGGACTGAGACTGGTCAATGAACGCACCACGGTCCGCGGCCATCTGCAGGATTGTGCGCTGGGAGATCTCCCACACCGTCTTGTACAGCGCCTTGATGTCACTGGGGATGTTGGGGATGTTCTGGACGGAACCACCCTCGGCAATAATGCGGTTCTTCATGTTGTCCGACCACAGGCCGAGATCGACCAGGTCCTTCAGCAGCCAGGGGTTGACCACCTGGAACTCACCAGCCAAGACACGGCGGGAGTAGATGTTGGAGGTGTAAGGCTCGAAGCACTCATTGAAGCCCAAGATCTGACTGGTACTGGCAGTGGGCATGGGAGCGACCAGCAAGCTGTTGCGGACACCAGTCTGGGCAATCTTGGCCTTGAGGGAATCCCAGTCCCAGAGGTCAGTGGGAGTGCGGTCCCACATGTCGTACTGAAGGATACCCTGGGAGACAGGAGATCCCTCGTAGGTCTCGTAAGTTCCGAACTCCTTGGCAAGATCAGACGAGGCGGTCAAACCAGCGTGGTAGATGGTCTCGAAGATCTGGATGTTCAGCTGTCTGGCCTCGGCCGAGTCGAAGGGCAGGCGAAGAGCGAGGAAAGCATCAGCCAGACCGTTGACACCCAGGGCAATGGGACGGTGACGGAAGTTGGACTTCTTGGCCTCCGGGACAGGGTAGTAGTTGATGTCAATGATCTTGTTCAGGTTACGGACCAAGACCTGGACAACCTCGTGAAGCTTGCCAAAGTCATACTCGCCGCGAGCAGCGTCGACGAAGGTAGGCAGGGCAAGAGACGCAAGGTTGCAGACGGCGACCTCATCCGGAGCGCTGTACTCAATGATCTCGGTGCAGAGGTTGGAGCTACGGATGGTTCCGAGGTTCTTCTGGTTGCTCTTCTTGTTGCAAGCATCCTTGTACAGCATGAAGGGGTTACCAGTCTCGGTCTGAGCCTCCAGAATAGCGTACCACAGCTTCTGGGCCTTGATGGTACGACGGCCACGGCCTTCCTTCTCATACCTGCAATACTATTAGCACGGGTTGCAAATACACGGACCAACAAACTTACTTCTCGTAGAGAGCGTCGAACTCATCACCGTAGACATCAGCCAAGCCAGGGGCTTCGTTGGGGCAGAACAGAGTCCAGTCACCGTTCGCCTCAACACGCTTCATGAACAGATCCGGGGTCCACAGGGCGTAGAACAGATCACGGGCTCTGACCTCCTCCTTACCGTGGTTCTTACGGAGATCCAGGAACTCGAAGACATCCGAGTGCCAGGGCTCAAGGTAGATGGCAAAAGCACCGGGACGCTTGTTGCCACCCTGGTCAACGTATCTGGCAGTGTTGTTGAAGACACGAAGCATAGGAACAAGACCGTTGGAGGTACCGTTGGTACCACCAATGTAGGAGCCAGTAGAACGGATGCGGTGCACGTTCAGACCGATACCACCGGCCGTCTTGGAGATCATAGCGCAAGTCTTCAGAGTGTCATAGATACCGTCAATGCTGTCCTCCTTCATGTCGACAAGGAAGCAAGAGGCGAGCTGGGGCTGGGGAGTACCAGCGTTGAACAGAGTCGGGGAGGCGTGAGTGAAGTACTTCTGAGACATCAAGTTGTAGGTCTCGATGGCCTTCTCAATGTCGCTGCCGTGGATACCAACGGCAACACGCATCAGCAGGTGCTGGGGACGCTCAGCCACCTTTCCGTTGATCCGCAACAGGTATGACCGCTCCAGGGTCTTGAAACCGAAGAAGTTGTAGTTGAAATCACGGTCGTACACGATAGCCGAGTTGAGTTCGTCGGCATGTTTCATAATTATTTCGTATGTCTCCTTTGATATCATTGGTGCAGGAGCATTGTTTTTGGGGTTGACATAGTGGTAGAGATCTGAGATGACCAAAGAGAACTGCTTCTTGGTCTGCTTGTGGAGGTTGGAAACGGCGATACGGGCAGCGAGAATGGCGTAATCAGGGTGTGTGACAGTCATGTACGCAGCAGTTTCGGCAGCCTAAGTCAAAATATCAGCACTTGCTCTGCCAATTGTAGCGGCTGCAAACCTACCAGGTTATCGAGTTCAACGGTAGTGACACCCTGGTAGACACCAGAGATGACCTTCTGGGTAATGGCAGCGGCATCGACATGCTCAGGGTCGAGTCCGTAACACAGCCTCGACACACGAGCAGTGATCTTGTCGAACTGCACGCGCTCTTTGCGTCCGTCTGTATTCAAAATTAGCACTGACTGTTGCAAGGGTGGCAAGGTCCATTCCGCTCAATGGACGGGCATTCATTCCACCCAGAGCAGGGAATCTTGTGCAACTCGTACTGACCTCTCTTGTAGACAAACATTTTGGACAATGAGGTTATAGACAACGAGAAAAGAAACTAGAACAAAGGGTATATGGAAATAATATTAGGGTAGTAGAGAAAAGAAGGCTTAGATATGTATAAGAGAGGATTGAGAGGAGAAATCGTCACAGAAAGAATGTCCTGAAGACAGGAGCTGAGGGGAGGATGAGAGATGAGAGGAAAGAGAAGACGGAGGGGCAGAAAGATGGGAGGAGATATTTGATGTCGCCGGGGCAAACGCGTTACGGTGGATATCCACGCGAATTTTCGTGTTTGGACTAAATGGGTTGCCCTTTGCATACGAGCCCGCTGACTGGTGCGCCGCCAATCTTTGTCCGGCTGGCGGGAACGCGCGACGAGCGCAGTCACGTGTGGGTTTCCTTTCAGTTCACGCCACGTCCCTCAGCAAATGCCGTGCTTCTTACAAATCAGCTCCGAGCCTCGGACACCGTATATCCGTTTGCAGGATATGGTTTCCGCCGACCTTCGACTACGTACCATCATGATTCCCATGCAACCTAAGCCCCACTAGGATATATTACGTATGAGCTTTCCGCCTCCCAGCGGGTTTCGGAGAGCTGCCTACGGATGCCTACACCGGTGGAGAAGACGCGGTTAAAGTGACGCGGTCTGCGCCCAATATGTACTCAACATCATTGATGTCCAAGGGTTCAGAGCCTTATAATATACGAAGCGGACTAACTGAACCTATAACGTCGCCGCAAATCCGACAAAAACAACGGCCGCAAACGCAGCAGCAGACGCGCCACGGTCAGCCGATCCCAACGAAATGGTCTCGTTAGGATGAGTGCTGGGACAAGCACTAGAGCTGGCATCGGGGACAAAGCTCGAAGTGGAGATACCGGTTGAACTAGCTATGACGGAGCTAGGCTTGGTCGGGCTGTAAAGAGCGGTGGATGGGGATGCGATGCCGGACGAGGTTGTTGGTAGGTATGCTGCATAAGTAGAGTCAAATGTCTCTCATCTTTGGCAAAGCGTCATTCAAGTTCAAAACATACCAATTGCGTAACCTGCAGATGTGCAGGTGTCTTTTAACTGCTCCAGAGCCAATTGTCTCTCATCCCCGCAAAACTCCACGATCTTGGCCCAAACCTTGCCTACGTTCGTCGCACAAATATCTTGGAGGTTATCAGAATCCGATTGAGACCTATACTGGGTTAGCAGGAGACCCAACTCAGTGCAGCTATCTCGCTGTCACAGTTATACCTCATGGCAGACACCAAACATGGCGGGGTCTGTGTAGCTACGCTGAGGCTCCCAAAGACCAGAAATGATACAAGGAAAGCGAAATGAGCGAACAACATGATGCTGTCGAGCTCTCAGAGCTCAAGCAACAAGCATATGAGAACCGGGTATGAGAAAGGCAACAAAAGAACGTAATAATGAACGATTATCCAAGCATTGGCTGGGTGTAATGCAACTACAGTAAAAGAGAGACTGCTGAGAAGCTAAAATTGTCTATGGAAAAGTGACTAGGGAGGATAAGAGTGACCAGCGTACTGATATAAAGGAGAGTGAGGCCAGACCACTCCGCCCCATGAGGCATCGACCCTGCCGATCCATCCTTCATTTCGCTGCCGGGAGTTGAAGTCTTGGCCAATGGCCCGAAGACTCGGGTGGAGTCCGCCAGGGACCAGCTCGGCTAGCGCCCGGGCCTCACTCCTATCCTTTTAGTGGACATGAGGAATAGTTATTTGTAGTCATGAGTTAATAGCTACTCGGACTGTATCTGATGAACATGCTTAGCACACCTCTTAATAGCCTCATTACCAAGTTGATGCATCATCTCTACTATCTTCCACAGTGAATAGCTAGCTGTCCACCATACCCCATAACGCAATAGTCGGAACATCTGCAATACCAAGTGACCAATGATTGTCACTTAATAGCACATACGAACTCACAATGACAACGTCCTCACCTATATAATGAGTCCCAGGTAAGGAGTCGGCCGGCTTCAAACAAGCTGCAGCATCCAGAGGGAGATGTAGCATGATCCTCAAGGGTGATATAATCTAAGAGCAGTTTCCACTTTTTATCTGGGAAGAAGAATTTACCTTAAGGGCTTGAGAGCCTGTAATAATCATAAGCAGCAATTCTCCAACAATCTATTTCCAGTAAGCATTTGACTAGGAAAGGGATCCTCTGCATCTACCCTTGCGGCAAATGCAATACAGACTGTAACACAGCTTTGCAGCCTTGGTTTCGACATTCAATATGGCAATTAAGCAGGTAATGCTAGATTTCTGGGAAAGTGATATGTGTGTGCTGCATGGTTGCTTGGAGCTAGGTGCATAGGGGAGAATCTGCATACCCACATACAACGGTAAATTGATCTGGTCAGGAGGTTGATTCCTGCTGTTCTAGCCACACACAAGCAAATAATGTGGCTTAAGCTTTTCGAAAGGTCATCATTGTTATTTCATAAAGACCTCTATCGTATACAGTCTATAGTACTCTAGATCTTTATTTGAATTGATGAGATATTCGTCCATCATGAAGGCATATAGCAAGCGTAGTAGTGGGGTCCAGCTAGTCTAGTTTTCAGGGGTTGGGGTAGGATACTAGAGGGTGATTCTTGTTCTTGGCTAAGTTTGGTAGGGGGCAAAAGGTGTGTAGAGCAGACGTAGCCATTCGAATATGGGGTAGGATGCCGGTATCGATACTACTCAAATGGTTTAACAAGTGCTATGATGCTCAATCTCAACGAGATAGTAAATTCTTTCTCCAATGTTCATTCAATGCAAGTCTTCAATAGCTAATGATCTCTCCATGCATGTCGTATATCCAAAAGTCTGGGTAATCATAAGTATAAGTCTAGTAAGTATCGAGTCTTGACCAACGTCTATAACTCTAAAATCTCCATCCACCCAAATATCCCACTCACGCATCCCACGCAGGATCAAACCGACTGACAACCAGCTCTTGCAAATCCAATCTATAATCAACAATCTCCTTCCCATTGACCAAATCATTCTCCAAGACTCTCTTCTCCGCCTCTGCCTCATCCCTCGCAATTCCAGCCTTAACATGCCTCCTAATTAATCTGTTCTTCGCAACCTCGAAATCCACCTCCACAAACCACAACTCATCCATCAACTCCGCCGCGCGATTCCACGGCTCCTTATTCAAACTCAGGTAATTCCCCTCGAAGAATATCAACCGACATGACGCCGGGATCAATATATCGTCATCAACTGGGTCCTTTACCGCATGATCAAAGCTCGGTGCATACAGACTCTGCGTCTCGGGCGTCACTTGTTCCCGCAGCGCCCGGACCAGCTGCAGAAACTTCTCCCCGTCAAAGGTGAATGCTGCGCCGCGGCGCGCGATGGCATACGCCGGGTCGGGCATCTCGGATAGCTGTGCCCGGGTTAGATGGTAGCCGTCCATGGGCACGTTGGTTGCGACTTGTGGTGATTCGGGGTGTTGCGTTAGGTAGCGCCGATTGATGCGGTTGGCCATCATGGTGGCCAGTTCTGTCTTGCCTGAGCCGGGTATCCCGCTGATGGCGATTAATAGGCGGGTGTCTTTGGGTGTGGATTGGAATTTGTCTGGGGAAACCTGGTTAGTTTTTTGCGGGGGTGATGGGGGTGCTGATTGCGGAGCATTGTTGTCCTCCTTCGTCCGGGGAAAAAAGATAGATGACTTACTCCAGATTTTATCGACTAGTCTGCTCACTTGGTCGTCCATTATTGGTGTGTGTATTATTTATAGGGGGAATAGATACGAAGAAAGTGAACTGGGGAAGAAGGTATTATAAAATTCAAGGACAGAGATCCGTGGTCCCGTGCATGCAAAGATTGGGGATGCTTTGAAGAGCGGGAAGATGCTGGATGGGAGTTAAGAGATTTGCTATGGGAAACTCTGATTCGAGAGACGCTTTCTCGGTACCTGTACCGAGTAATGGGCGACAAACAGGAGGATGGCAGTTCTGGGAGACAGCGAGAAGCTCCGACGGCGGACTCGATGGGATAAATAAGTCGGCGGGGCTTGTCGTCAGAGTGGGGGCTCGCGATCGCATTGACTCCGGCCGGGCCAGCGATAGTGAGATACGTCACAGGGGACCGGCTAACTTATCAGGCACCGCGTGGTTATACTTTGTAGGCTGTGGATGAAGGAAACTCGGCATGTTTTTGGGTATTTTTTGTATATCTCAAGATTCCAGCTGGTGGAGCATAGATGGTAATGCTTATGTGGGATATTCAAATGCCGTTCTCACTGCCATTCAAGGAACAACTGGTCAATGCATGAGGTCACATGTCCACGGCTAGCAGCAACTTGAAGTAGTATCTCATCCCAGGCTAAGCTGATACGACTCCTACTATTTCCAATACTTTAATTAAATCACACCAAATGACATTAAACAAGCCAGGTTATATGTGTACAATATGTGCCCGGATACGCACTTTAGATCAATTCCATCTCATAATGGGTAATTCCCGTCCATAACTGATTCAGCCGATTGACCCTGGCTGAGACACCATAACGCCAAACAAGAGACCCCCGCTAAGAACAACTCGAAACCACAAGCATCCCCAGATGACCTATTAACTAAATTCTCGGTATCTAACACAGTGACAGAAAGGTACATGATCACCTCGACCTGAGCGGTCCATCCACGCTATCAGTGTCGTTAGTGTCATCGTTCGCGCCGAGCCGGCGGCCAAGGGTGCGGGACAGTCCAGCTGCCGCCCACCATTCTTCGGGGATATCCTCGCGACGTGCAAGTCGATCTAAGATAGCTTGCATCTGCTGCAGGTCTGGATCGGTAGAAGTAGAAGAGGAATCGGAGAACGCAAAGGAGATGGTAGGGATAGGAGGGTGGTTGCTCATGGTTGACTGGAGATGCTGAGCACGTCTCAGTGACTCCATCTGGCGAACACGACGGTAGCGGCGGAACAGTGCGTTGGAAGAGATCCCTGTTTCGGAATCGCTGTCGGAATCGCTGGAGCTTGAATAGTCACAGGGATTTAAGAACTCGGGGTATGGATCAAGAACCATCTGGACAGTGCCCGTGCCCGTGCCTGATTCCATAGGGTTCGACATTTGCAGCGAGGTTGCCGAACTTGTGGTTGTCCCGACGGTCGAAGCATTCGTTCCAGAAGCCGATGCGGACGTGAAGGACGAATCAGCACTAGGAAGATTGGTATCCGGCGTGATCGTGGTAAGGAGAGTCTCCCATGCATCGTTGGCATGATCGTCATCGGGACTCAGACTTCTCTGTCGGTCGCCAAGACCATCAATAGCCGACTCGCGGTTGGGACGATTCGCCTCATTGATCGATCGTTCACCGACACGTCGCAGGGTAGGGAAGCCCGCCGAGATCGAAAGATCGCTTCCAAGACCATCGGGTCGAAGGAATGGGGACAGACGAGCAGCTTCTGGGCGCGCTTGGGGAGACGCAGTCCTATGGTATGCAATCGCAGGAGCAAAACGCGGTGTGAACTGGGGATGAGTCTGGTCAGGCCGGTTGGTTGTGTCATCACCCGGCGATGGACGATTGTATAGATCGGGCAGGGCCGAGCTGCGCGGTATCCTCAATCGCTGACCAGGCCGCCCATGACGGAGCGCATCGCTCAGCAGTCGCTGGCCGGCTTCGCGTCTATCGGAATCTAGGAGGCCGCGGGCCAGGTCGAACGGGTCGTCGGCGCTGCTAGAGTTCGAAAGCGGAGAGCGCACATGACGCTGAAGACCATTCGCCTCACGCTCAATCTCATCTACTAGCGGACGAGGGAAAGGCGACCGGAGGGTTGCGCTGCGCAAGGCGGAGCCGCCATAGCGCGAGGGACGACGAATACTAGCCTGACGACGAATTGCGGAGCGCGCAGTGGCACACGGGTCTTTGACGGGATTGTTCTTCGGAGCATCTGCGGAGGACTCGCAGAACAGTCTGCATCATGTCAGTCAGATATGACAGCCGTTCCGTGCGCTCTTGGCCGACGGAGTCGCGCGTAGAATCCCGACAGCGGCGAGAGTTGTGTAGGGTAAGAAATTGTGGACTCACGGAATACCCATGGCTACAGAGATGAGAAAAGAAAGGATAGGGAGCGACGGTCCAGGCAGGAAGGGAGATCAAAGAAAGAAGCCGCATCCAGAAGTAGCGTGAAGTGACGCGAGTCCTTAAATGGAGAGGGCCAGATTGCGGGGACAGCGACCAGGGCGATGTGTTGATGGAGAAACGGCGAGATTTGGTTTTCCTCGTAAGGGTAAAAAGCGGAGGCGAAGAGATTTCGCGCCTGAGGCTTGCGGTCGTAGCGCCGCGGGTTGGCCTGAGGGAAACATTGGGGGATTCTGGGTGGCTGGGAGAACCAGTGGTGGCGCCCTAATGATCATCCGCGTACAATCTAGTACAGCGCCTAAAGGCTGAAGGGAGGAAAGAGTGAATGATCAATGAGTTGTCAATTGAGATGAATCGTGACCACTGAATGTTT